GAAGATCCCTTTCTCTTTAGAACTTCGTGATTTGGTTTTCATTACCAAGGCCGCTTTTTACTTTCGATCCTTGACACATCTGAATTTTTGGTCGTTCAAACTGTGTGGTTTATCTTAGCACTTTCCTAACTCTTACCCACCAGGTGGATGCATCTTTCTATTAGTACGTAATCGTACACCGATCTTTTCCAGGACGTACCCATCCTGATTGATGCTTTTTTCACTAATTTCGTTAGGGAGCTAGGGTTTTTACGACAGCGCTCAATTTGTTGGCGATATCGAATGAGAGTACCTCCAGCATTCTTGCGTAGTCTCCGCTCGTGACTAAATGGGTCACCCCATTCAAAGCATATGTGTTGCATGGAACCCTTTTCTCTTTTGTATGATCATTTTCAGTTATTTATATTTCAGTAAGTAAATTTAGCAAGACCGTTCACTGTTGTGTACCTTTTTAAATTTTAACTTCTGGCTGCTTATTCAAAAATGTTGGAAGTCATAGCGAACGCTTAGACATAAAATACAGTGGCTGACAAAAAGAGGCTAGTTTAACTGTTAGAAAAGATAAAATCTTAATGCTCCCTTGCTCGTAAAACATTTAACTATATTCCAAAATGCCCTCTCAAATGGAGGCCGTTGTTTTTATCTGCCTAACCTCGCTGAAGAATCTTTTAGTTACCTGTTCAGACGGTTAAAGCCACGTCCAGAAATTATGATTCTGTCCACCAAGATCGGCTAGCCATGGCCGGAATAAATTTTGGGCTGGAATAAAACCCGCAGACCTTAACAGTTGATGACATTAAAAAACTTCACATTAAAAGCCAAGTTAGTGGCAAGCTCTCTGCACTGCTTTGTGGACTTCGCCGCCGTCCTTCGTGTGTGTGAGTCCGAGTGAAGTACGCCGACGTTATCTCAAGGGAGGCAGTCCGCGCTCGCTGCGAAAACATCGCATAGGTATCCCAGACCATCCAAGATGATGATTTGGGCACGTTCTTGGTCGTCCACCCGAGTGCTACTGCTCTCGACCCAGCACTGTTATCCACTTGGAGCGGGGACTCTCCTCAAAAGCTAACTCGACGCAGTTCGCCGATACATGGAAGCGGGTCTGGGATCTTTGATGTTCGACCTCCGTAACGGGCGAAGATTGCGTTGTACAGATCCGCTGCCGCAGATCATAGTCCAGGGCGAGGTACAATCCGTAATATCATATAGGCCTGCTAGATCAGGTATGATCACCGCCGTACCACGAAATAGGAAAGAACAAATGTCGTCTTTTCTTGGACGTTTGTGTAAAGGGAGTAACTCTCCTATCTTATATTGTCTCTTTTGAGGACTTTGCTCCCTTGTGAAAATATTTAAAAAAAACTTTTAGGTTCTAGCAGTTCACGAAGTCTCGTTTTGCAACTTGGCCTGCAATTTTGCCTATTATCCGCTTATTTTCTGATGAGGCTTTTGTCTGTTTGGCCTCGTAAACTGCAGACATATTTTAAGGCAGTTGCTTACTCCACAATCTAAATAGCAAATGCTTTTATTTCTCAGGCTAGATTTCAGTGTGACATGATTTATATCAAAATGTGCTATTTAAGGTTAACTTTTTATCCACCCACATAGGTAAGATGCCTAACTAATCAGTTGTTGGGTAAGAAATTTCTGCCTGGCAAGTATTTTCTCACGACCAGAGGCCTAGTGCAACAAAGATGTCGATTTTTTAACTTTCCCTAACAGGTAGACGGATACAGACAGCAGAGCCAGTTTCCGACACCAACAACTTTATTCAAAATGGATTTTCTAGCTCGTCAACTCTAGCTTGTTTATAGGATTCCTGGCCATTCTCAAACAGTGCTACAAATGGCGTCCGACGCGCGTTCTGGAATATTCCGGCCGTAGCTTGGTGTTCATTTATTTGGCGGCTCGTGCGCGAATATTACTCTCTTGAAAGTATCAATTTATGGATCTGCAGTACGGATACTTAAAAGCATGACGCGTGATCGATATTGCCATGCGCGCTAATTGGCCAACTTGGCACGACGCGTGGTTTCGTCCTTTTGTAATGGGCGGTTCCGTGACACCCTTTTGCAAATTGGCAGCATTTTTGGGTGAAACACGATGCCAACAGGAATCATTATTGCCCACTCTCACTTTCATACCGCCTCTAAGTTCGGGACTTGGGAGAGCACTTTCGTGACTCTGGGGCAAGCTAAATTGCACTTGTAGCACCTGTCTGTAGGATTTCAAGTGTACAAACTTAAATTCCGCCAGTAGAAGAAAACCGCATGCGGAACGTGCACAAAACGGGCCCAGTCTAATGTTTAGTACTGACTGAAGCCGGCGTTTCATTAGTCTTACCTACTGTCATATAACCACAACTCTTCCCACCCCCTTCCGTACTATTGGACTCGTTCTTGTTGTGTGTCGAAGGGAGTCCCCACACACGTATCTGTTTTTGCGATCCCTCCATTGATTATGGCACGTCCTCCCTTAATGTCCTTAGTTGCCGTAGTTCCCCTTAGGTTCTCCTGAAACGACGAGTTCGAAAGTCTTGACTGATGGGTGTGGAAGACTGACCAAGATATAAAGCTTAATTAGCAAGTTGTACTTAATTGTTGTAAGCAGTATGCGTATATGTGACGTTACATACAAGAAACGCTTCATGTAATCAGATAAATCTTCTTCGCCTTATTGAGTCTCAAGCGCTACTCACAGACGAAGGCATCCCTTTGGCATGTTTTATTTTCAACAAACCCAACATCTGTAAAGTTTCCTCATGTTATCCTTCCTATTAGCTAATGGCAGATATTGGCCTGATCGGTCTCCCCAACGCGGGCAAGTCTAGTCTCCTCCAAGCCCTTTCTGGCGCAAAGGCCAAGATTGCCTCTTACCCCTTCACAACCCTTCGTCCCCAACTGGCTCAAATCTCCTACCCGGACCGTCGCGTTATCAGTATGACTGATTTGCCAGGTATGTTGGTGTTTCGATAACTAGGATTTTTCTGCTTTTTTTGTGCTCCAATAATGACTCTGTGACCAACCACATCCCCCTTCCAGGTTTGGCGGATATCGCCGCGAAGTTTGATGTTTCCAGCCTCTCAGAGTCCGAACGGTCTATTCCCGAGAAGGGCCCTCCCCCAGCCGTTGATGAGACCCGGCTGCCACCCCTGACTCACACAGCTTTCTTGAAGCATGTCGAGCGCACCTCCTGTATCCTGATTGTGTTAGATGCTCTCGGATTCCAAGCCAATCAGTTTAGCCCTTATAGAAGTCCCGTAGACAGTGCTCTGCTATTGGTTAGCCAACTTCAGCGCTACGCTAGTGGTCGTCTGCTCGGGAAGCCCCTGCTATGTGCAATTAACAAGGTTCTGCTCATCTTGTTTTTTTGAACCCTTTTAGTTTTGGTTAACATTTCTACTCAAATATTGACAGTAGTGTGTATTTCAGATCGACTTGCCCCATGCTGCGGAGGCGGCGGAAGAAGCCAAGGAGGCTCTGCGTGACATCAATTCGGCCAAGGTGCGGAAAGCTAGCTCTCTGCCTGGCATCCTGCTTCCGCGTTATCCCTTCGCCTTTGAGGACATTTTTCTAATCTCCGCACAAAAGCGCCTCAACCTTGATAGTGCGTTATTCGGTTTTTACTATGCAAATTATTCCTTCTTGAAATCTTTTGAACCGTTTGTGACGCCGCAATTTTAATTTGTTTTCTTCTCCGAAATGATCACATATGACATCGCATGATCTCCAGTTAGCCTCTATTGAATTCAGTTTCTTCACAGTCGATGAGATCGCCCACCAAATCGAACAAAGTGTGCTAAAGTACCGCATGTGTTGCTCCTTTTTTGTGTCGACATCTTTTCTTCGCTTTTGTTCCCGAGGTTATTGGAGGCTTGCGAAATCTCGGACCTCTACAAGACGCTCCACTCAGTTAAAGATAAATTTTCTCTGTTTAACACCGCTTGACCGTAGTTGTAGAACTGTAGTACTGTTCTCATCACATAGCCGTCTGGTGTGGTACGCAAAAGTGTTTTGATGCTCAAAACTACACAATGGAATTCGCGGGACTGGTGGTTCTGGGAAAGTTAGGTTGACCGCTTGAGCACTCATGTGCCAATAGACTTGATCGCCTACCCATACAAAGCTGTCCCGATTGGCAACCGGCTTTTTCATTTCCGCAGAAATTTTTTTTTACCTTGCACTAGATCAGTATATTCAAAGTCCGCAAACGCAGACTTAACTCCATTGGCCACTGTGTGCTGTTAATGCACAGACGGTAGTATAACTGTGGCCTAATAGGCGCTGGCACTTTCGGTCCTGATTCCCTGTCGGTGCATGCGCTTGCCCTCCAACTAGTTTTCAGACCCCACCTCAGGTGACCGATCAGTTAGGCGGTCGCTAGACGGTGGGGGAGAGAGTCAGATCGACCCTCAGCGCGCCGCTCTCTTCACTATAGTAAATATGAATGCACTTGAATCTATCACGGTGCGCTAAAAGTCGTGGCTTGGAGCGTCTGCCAACTGACGGAAAAACTCCGGCCACCTACGTCGCTGCTCCTTTAGTTTTTTTTACTGTGGGCGTATGTGAGGAGGTGGAGGACTGAGAGTCAGGCTGCAATGGCTCCTTCTTCATTTGGTCTTTATGACGCTTCCGCACACGCGGGAGTCTACCTAGCGAAATGTGCTGAGTCAAGTGCGCGTGTTCAGTGACTATCGCGCCAGCCACCTACACCCTCCCTCATTCGCGGTCTTATTGACTTTATCTTTACACCGGAAACGGAGGTGAGAGCGGCGAGCGAGTGGGTAGATTCCCCACAAGTCTGCTTTCACTCTTGTTTTCATTCGCGGTAGTTCGCTGCATTGCTTCAGCTCGCTGTAGCCTTCGTGCAGCTTGCCTCAGTGTCTGCTTCGGCTTGCGTCTGCGTTAACTGCGGCTTGTTGGAGCCTACGGCTG